TGTGTGTGCATGCGTGTGTTTGTGTGGTGTGTGTGTGTGTGTGTGTGTGTGTGTGTGTGTGTGTGTGTGTGTGTGTGTGTGTGTGTGTGTGAGTGAGTGAGTGTGTGTGTTTTTCAATTTATACATAAAACAAAATAATAAATGTAATATAATAAGATTCATACGAAAAAACGTGTTACGTGTTGTGTGAAAGTAATGATTCAGTACTGTCATAGTCAAGCTGTTTCAACCAAGAAGTAATCAATTTTTTACACTCAAAGTAATGTTTGCTGTAAAACTTGAGTTTCCCATTTAATTTATTATACAATAAGTGAGATTGCGAATTGAAATTTGTACGAGCAAATTTTGTTTTAACAGTGGGGTAGGAAACGACAGAATAGGGATTACGCTTACTTAAGATTTTTGTATCTAGGGTAATAGTTTTGTGAATTTTAAGAATACATTTTAATATATAAAGTTGCCTAACAGTTAAAACATTGCAGTCCCGATATAGTTCAGAAGTCCCCGATGTAATTTTCCTGAATGTCATAACTTTAAGGAGTGAGCGTTGAGCCCTCTCAATTTTAATAATTTTGGTTTTGTGGGTACCACCCCACATTGGCAAGCAATATAATATGATGGATTGTACCAGAGCAGTATAAATGTAAGTAATAAGTTTTTTGTCGGCGACATGTCTTATGTATTTGAACAACCACAATAGCTTTCTGACGTGCAATGGGTGCAAGTGTCAATTTGTTTATGCCAATTTAGTTGCTGGTCGAGATATGTCCCTAAGTATTTTGTGAAACTAACCTTTCGCAGGGTCTGGCAGTTACATTTAGGTGCTCTGTAAGGGTTTTCACAGGAATGGGCGATAAGATGAAGATTATTATTGGGTTGCATGGAATTTTTGATTGCAAATGTTATATAGTTTGTTTTACTAATATTTAAGGTAAGGAGATTGCTATGTAACCATTTGATAACAGTGTGTAGGCCCTTGGAGGCTAACTCATGGACTTCATCCCAGTTTTTACCATAAAAAAGAAGCGCTGTATCGTCGGCGTAAGAGAAGATTTTACCGTTTGGTAATTTAGTTTCAGTAAGGTCATTGATATATATTAGGAACAGGGTAGGTCCAAGAACACTACCCTGTGGAACGCCATATTGTGTGCAGAGCTCATTAGAACTATATGAGTTATCGTCTGTTTTGACTTGTTGAGTTCTCCTTAAAAGATAGTCGGATATGAGAAGAAGAAATTGACCACGAACACCAATTCTGTCAAGTTTCTTGATAAGAATGGGGATGGAGACGGTGTCAAACGCCTTTTTTAGGTCTAGAAATATACACAGAGCTTTCTCACTTCTATCAAGTATATTAACAACATTGCCGGTCAATGCTAAAATAGAATCTTCTGTGCTCCTTTTTCCTCTAAAGCCAAACTGAGCGTCCGATAAAATGTTATATTTGTTTATAAAATTTAAAAGCCGTTTATTAATAATTTTTTCTATAATTTTAGAAATCACTGTTAGAACAGAAATAGGTCTGTAATTATTGACATCGTCTCTAGCCCCACTTTTATATATAGGATGAATAATTGCCCTTTTTAATGACTGAGGAAACACGCCTTTATTAAAGCATAGCACGCAGAGATGATTAATAATAGGGCTAAGTTCTGTTTTGGCAAGTTTAATAAATTTTGTGGGTATATTGTCCCAGCCAGGGGCAGAATCAGATTTAAGGTTTGTGATAATTGATTCAATTTCATTTGTATCCGGTTCAATAAATCCGATGGAATTGGGTTGAGGAGAAGGAAGTAACTCGAAGTTACTTTGAGGTAGATGATGTGTAATAATGTCTTCTGCGAGCGTTTTCCCAACATTCAAGAAATGGTTATTAATTAAATTTGCTGAGTTATTTGGTGTATCAGCCAACTAAGTTCTTGATTATTAGATTTTTATTATTGAGGTGCGTAATATTCTTTAACGTATTCCAAAGTAATTTATTATTATTTTTAGCTTTAACGAGTAGATCTTGTTCATATTTTCGTTTAAGTTTTTTTAACAGATTGTTACAAAAATTACGATATCGTTTGTATATTAAAGATAATGTTCCGTTTTCTTTATTTTGTTGTGATTGTTTTTGAAGCCTATTTCTGTTTTTTATGCATTTCAACAAACCCGGAGTTATCCAGGGTTTAATAATACGTTTATTACTTGGGATTTTTATTACTTTTGTATTAGTTTCTATTGATTTGTTAATTATTTCAATTAATTTTTCAGATAAAGTATTTGGGTCTTCGATTTTAATAATTTCAGCCAGATTGTTATCATTTAGGGTATTTACTGCACTTTTGTAATCAATAAATACTTTTGTTGATTTTCTGTGAGTAAGATTGATTTTCGACTAGATATAGGTAAGAACCATGGAATGGTCGGTAGTAGTGGCTTCTAGGACCGCTATCGTAGCAGAGTACTTATTGGGATCAAGATTAGCGAAAACGTGATCTATACAGCTGTTGATTCTAGTGTTTAATCTATGTCCAGGCAATAAACCGTGTTGCGCCATTGTTTCAAGATATTTGTGACTACGTGCATCTAGGTGGCCCTCTAATAGGTTAATGTTGATGTCACCTGTTATTATTACGTTTTTACTTAAATTGTTAGATTGAAGATATTGATCTAAAGAATTTACAAAACTTTCTATGTTATAATTAGATGGTGATCTATATATACACAAGATAATGAGGTTAGTTAAACAAACTTGCAGACATGTAGCATCATTTATAAAAATCTCTTTAACTTTATGTTCTAAAGTGTCATTTATGTAGACAACGACCCCATCGTTTTGAGTAACTTTGTTAGTAGTGTTATAAACGTAATACCCGGGTCTATTTGGTAATGGAATATCAGGATTTAATCGGCATTCAGTCAATATTAAAATATCAATATGTTCCTCAACTAATGATAGGCTAACTGAAAAATCATCAGAGTTCTTATTTATACTCCTGATGTTTTGAGTAACTATCGAAAAAGCTGGTTTATCTGAAGGTAAAAGATTGGGGAGTTCATTTGTACTACAGGCAAAGCTATTTATATATATTTATAATAATGAGGATATCCGCAGTAGGACCGGAGTAACCGACAAAGCCTAACGAGTTAGTCATCCAAAATGTCAATTGGCTGCCCATACAGCTTGAAGAACCGACAACCGATGAAAAAGAAACGTTCTCGAGTGGCAGCCTCGTACCAGTAGATGAAGTGTAGAGCCACCTCTCACTAAATAAAGTGACGACCCGAAAATACATGCAGGAAACACCCAACGATTGCCATAATTCCCGATTTTACTCCAGAGAAAAGTTCGCTGGTGTTAAATAAAACGATAAACAGCAGCTGTAAGAGCAGTTATTTGTAATTAAAACAATAAAATAATGGTTGGCAACTTTATTTTGTACAAGAATCGGCGTCGCCGGGATCACACATACAAACATTGACATCGTATTATCACTACTAAAAACCCGATTCGCTGTGTCAACACAGACTTGGACGATTTACAAATTTTTGACTTTTGATTAATATTCAAGATCATCATTAAATAAAAATATCATTAAAATTTTGATACATATTTATTTGAAAATAGTTTGCTAACTAATCGTAAATAAAATCGCAGTAAATATCATTTTTTCTTATTGTAAATAAAAAGTTGTTGAACTTGTTTAAGGTGCGTAGCATCATATTAGTCTCTGCATTAAAAAAACTGTAGTATATAATGGTATTACCGCATGCGATGTAGTCTTGTTTAGTGACTTACCGGTAACCGGTAAGCACCGGTAAAACTTGAAACTTCAATAATATTTTTTGTTATTAATTTTGTACAATTTTATAATAAAAGATGAATACTAAAGTATTCACTTGATAAAAGTGCAATGAAAAAATATTTATATCATCCAAATATACGATTTTTTGTAAATTTTTCAATTACAAAATCCAAAATTTTACCTTACTTCCTTTAATAAATAAAACAATATTTACGGAATAGTAATATGTAATCACAGTTATGGAATAGTAACATTTATTAAAAACATACTAGGCCGTAATAATTCAACACATTCGTAATCATTAATCGATGGAGTGTGTATGTCTACTATGTATTCTTTAAGTCCAGATGTCCAAGAAAACTGCAAAAATAGTTTATTGATTTATTATTATTATGGAAAATATCAAAAAAGAATCAATAGTAATAAATAAAACAGTATTGGTAAGCCAACATAAGACAAGCGCAAAATCGGATGAAAAAGTATGAACATATATATTTTTTTAATTTTAACACAAAATGGATCTACTCAACCCTTTGTGGGTTAAAAGGCGTGAGGTGAACATTAAAAAATAATAATAATAATAAGTCAGTCAGCACCTTGCCAAGAGGTGTTAGTGCCGAACCTCGGCAAAAATTGAAGGTGCAAAGGCCCGCTTGTGCACATGGCCCACCGTGCAACGGCGCCGGGTCTGGGCGTCTCCCGTTAAATGACGCCCACAAAAATGGATGATGGATTTGACTGGAATGCCCAAAGGGCCGCTGCCTGGAGGACACCAGGGCGCGTCTTGAGCTGGCGCTGGACGCGACAGATTGCGAACCGCCAGCCAACGAGCGCGAGGTGCTGCACGACCACCCAGCAGCCCATCGCATCCATCATCCCCTTCAGCTGGCTTGGTGTCGGCAAGGTCTTCGCGGGCCCAGCAATCGGCACCCACCACTGGTGGAGCACGCCACATGCGTTGGACAACTCAAATGAACAGCAACGCATGGCGGGCGTATTTTAGGGCGAAAGGGGGAGAAATTGGAGGTTTTGCGTATCAGGCAAGGATGCATCGACTTTTTGCTGAGCTGGAGCCATCTGTAACCGTCACCGAGCAAAACCTGGCAGACCGAGTTCGATATATCTTGCGCTGAAATACATTTGTCACCGAACTCGAACGGCTACGACGTGAGGCTGTTCCTTCATCGGATGAAATAGCTACTGAGGATGCGGCCCCACAAACCGGCAAACGTGGATGCCGCCGTGAATACCCCAGTTTTGGTTGATTCAAACAATGGTGGAACAGTCGCCCAGGAACTGGAACAGGAGCAAATTAGGAGTACATTGGATGAGGCGATTTTGGAAAACGCGCAGTACGCCTCTCGAAAATCGACCGCGACTTCGCCGCACAGCCTTCAGCAAGCGGAATCGGGCTATCGTGAGGGCTCTGAACCCAATGCTGGTGACCTATTTGGAAGACAGCCGGGACCTTTGCGAGACGGACTCAATTCTCTTTGGCGCCGCACTGGCAGTCTGCCGTATTATAGGCGCCAAACCTTCCACGGCTTGACGCACTACTGGACAAAGTAGTGCTATCCCAGCCTGGAGAACAAGAATTGAAGAACATATCGCAAAGGCTAGGGCTCTCATCAGCAGACTGATATGCTTCAGGTCAGGCAATAACAGGCCAAGGATTGTGCGCACCGTCAGGATGGCGTTTGCTGGGACAAATGTTAGTTTGTCTCAGCCGGATATAATGCAAAAACTGACGGAGCACATAGACGAACTGAAGCAGAGAATCGCTGCTTGGGGAAAGCGGATTCGGCGATATACCGAGAAGTCGACACGGTTCAACCAGAATCGTCTCTTCCAGAGTGATCAAAAGAGGCTCTATAAAGCATTGGAGCGACCAATGGTAAGTGGAACGGACCCAGTACCGAATCAAGCCGACACGGTCGCATTTTGGCGCAGCCTGTGGTCAGAACCCGTAAACCACAACGAGGGCCCTTGGACAGAAGTTGCGGCGAGTCAGTGTGCGGGTATTAGGACCCCACGCCGGATAACGTAGCTGAGGCGGTCCGTCGGGCCCCGAACTGGAAAAGTCCGGGGCTTGACGGGCTGCATCAGTACTGGCTGAAGGGGTTCATGGTGTGTCATGCTGTGCTCGCTCGACAGTTTCAAGAGGCTCTCAACCAGAAGTCGCTCCCAAGCCTCTTCACTACTGGGATCACTCATTTTGTTCCTATAGATCAGGGTGCCACAAACCCGAGCAAATACCGCCCCATCACGTGTCTACCGACCATATACAAGACACTAAGATCCATTTTGAGCGCGAGAATCACTCGTCACCTGGACTCAAATCAGGTGACGTCGCGCGCTCAAAATGGATGTCGGGGCGACTGTCTGAGTCCAATCGAACCATTCCTTATTGACGCGGTCATTGGCAAAGTGGTGAAACGCAACCGTCGGAACTTCTCCGCCGCCTGAATAAATTACGGAAAGGCATTTGATTCGGTGCTCCATACACGGCTAAAGAGGGTCCTCAAGCTGTACAAGATTGACTGTACAGTTCGAGACTTCCTCGAGCAGTGTATGGGGCAGGGAGTACGATCCTCTGTCATCTAGGCGAGCAGATGACGGCTGCGGAAAAGCCGCATAAGGATAAGAAGGGGTATATTCCAGGGCGACTGTCTGAGTCCAATCTGGTTCTGCCTCTCTTTGAACCCTTCAGTACTGTACTGGAAGGCTCCGGGAGGGGATTTCAGCTTCGGAAAGGAGGTATAAAAGTGAACCACCTTTTCTATACAGATGACCTCAAATTATTCGCCTCCAGTCGCTCCCATCTTATGGAATTGCTAAACATCACATGTGAATTTAGCAATTTTATTAGAATGGAGCTGGGGACGGATAAGTGTGCGGTTCTCCATGTTGAAAGGGGAAGGGTTGCTAAATATGAGGGCATAGACTTATCTATGCCCGTCAACTTAAGGACCCTTTCCGAGGCTGAAACATACCGATACCTGGGTATGTCACAGAACATCGGCATCGATGAGGCTGGTATGTAACAGTCAGCTTGCGACGTGTTTTATGCACGCTTGACCAAAGTGCTTAACAGCCTTTTGTCTGGTGTGAATAAGACACACGCATATAACGGCTGAGTCATGCCTGTCCTCATGTATACCTTTGGCATACTCAGGTGGATTCAGACTGAACTAAATGCCCTGGATAGAAAATTCCGCACTACAATGACGTCCCATAGGATGCATCATCCGAGATCGTCGGTAATGAGGCTGTACTTGCCGCGAAAGCATGGTGGGCGTTCTTGAGCGATTACTTCCTGACGAGATCGGATGATCCATTCTATAATGACGTCATTTCTAGTGATAAAAGAACTTATCCCTCTATCCTTAGCCAACGAGCAATGGCAGGAGCCGGCAGTACAGAGCATTTCCGACCGGGAGACCGTATGGAAGGAGAAGGAGCTCCACGGGAGGTACTACAGGGCTCTACATGAGCCCCACGTAGATACAGCCGCCTCCCTCTACTGGCTACGTTTCGGTGACCTCTTCGGGGAAACCGAGGGTTTTGTCTGTGCAATACAGGATCAGGTTATTAAGACCAACAACTATCGGAGATACATCCTAAAGGATGTCACTGTCGACGTCTGTCGAGCTTGCCGCCATCCCGGGGAGTCACTTAGGCATCTCATATTCGGTTGTTCGGCATCCGAACATTACTATATATTAATTATATGTAACCAGAAGATAGAATCTAAAAACTCTAGTGCAAATTTTTAATGTTATCCTATAGAGGAAACAAATTTAAAATTTGATAAAAAATGTTACAATTGAGTTTAATCGTAGGTCATTTAATTAATAGTTTTCATCCTATTTTATCGTATATATTTAGCTTTTCATTAAGCCAAGTACAAATTTAAAAGCGACAATATTTCCGGCTTATCTTTCGACACGTATTTATTGATTATTTTTTACTCCCTTTTTTAGAATCACCAGCTGATTAGTGATCGCCAATGCGGTTTTCGTAGGGATTGATCAACTGGTGATCTTCTGGTCTACCTGACTCATAGATTGGCAATGGCATTAGAGTTCAAGGTGGAGGCGTTGGCCGTTAGTTTGGACATAACGTAGGCCTTCGATCGGGTTTGGCACAAAGCGCTTTTTTAAAAGTTCCCTTCATATGAGCTTCCGAAGAATGTGTGCAATTGAATCAACAGTTTCCTTTCTGATTGGAGCACCAAAGATGGTGCATGCTCTAATTACAAGCCTATTTAGGCAGTAACGTTGCTGATAGCACGCAGCATTTTGGATCACCAGGCTGCACAATGCTGCCTGCTATCAGCAACACTGTTTTGTTTTTTCTGCAAATCAATGGTATGTTGAAGAACAGTAACATTCATTGCTATGCGGACGACAGCAATGGTAATGCTTTATGCATACACCAGCCATGCTAACATTTCTCAGGAAAATGTCGCTGAGTAACGGGAAAAACTTTTGTCTGAATTCGAGACTTTTTTGAACACAGTTGCGACTGGAGGCATATAAATCTAGTCCAGTTCAATCCCCAAAAGACACAAGTTTTTGCGTTTTTCGCTAAAAAGAACTCTTTCGTCGCATCTTCTCAGTTTTAAGGCACTAACCTTGTTACCTTATTCACTATCGGAATCTCTGGCGTCAACATATCGAGTGACGTGCAGTTTCGTGGTCACATGAAACAAGGCTTGGAAAACTTAGCAGAGTGGGATTGTATTTCATGACAGTAAACCACTTGCAACTTTACAATACGCAGTTTCGGCCTAACATGGAATATTGTTCTCATCTATGAGCAGGAGCACCCCAGTTGCAGCTCCTTCCACTTAACCACATCCAGCGTAAACTGAGTTCTTTTTGATCGGCTTGATTTACTGGCGCTGCGAAATAATGTTGTATACCTTTGCATTTTCAATCGCATCTACCACGGGGGTGCTATGAGGAATTGTTTAGATTAATTCTAGCCGCTGAATTTCACAAACTCTCATCGCATCAAAACTCCCGATACCATCCACACCATCTGGATGCTTGACGATCACCACCCTACGTTTCACTATGAATTTTCTTCCGCGTACGACCTCTCTGTGGATTAGTTTACCACTGCCGATTTTTACGGACTGATACGATTTAGGGAACTTTAAAAAAAGAGCTTACTCCTTTTTAAAAGGCTGGTAAAGCACCTTAATTCCCCTGGTGTTGCGGTTAGTTATTGGCGGTGGTAGTAACTTACCATCAGGTGAGCCACATTGTCATTTGCTCTCTCTTCTGTGAAGAAAAAGAATTTATTTTTGCAAAACAATTCAACCCTTCTTTACTAGAAATGGCTAGTAGGCCAATACTCGACTATAATTAGTTCTACTATAAGACTTATGTTATTCACAGTGATCTATTTAGGTACTTTTTCTGGAATATTTGAACGTATTTTCCTTCCTTATAAAAATTTCTTTAACAAGTTACTAACAAAAAATTTGTAAAACTAAGTATTTTATAAATAAACTAGCTGTTCCCCGCAACTTCATCCGTATGGAATTCATTAGGATTAGATTTAATGGATTTTTTTGTACTGAACCCTAATTCTATTTCTTAAAAAATATTAGCTGAAACTATTCTATTCCTTATAACATCAGTTATCTGCCAGTGAAAGTTCTGTCAAAATCAGTCTAGCCATTTCTGAAAGTAGCTGGAACAAACAGACAGACAGACAAACATTTTAAAAATTGTTTTTTCAGTTATAATTACCATATATCTATTCATAGGCATTCAGTAAAAAGCTGTTATTTTGGCATGTACAAACAGACACTTCAATTTTATTTATTCGTATAAAAATTAAAATATTAAACGTTAATTTTCTTGCCTAAGAGATTAGGCTGTATTATGAATTTATGAAGTATCTAAATATTAGGTTCCTTATTAAAATTTTATAAATAGTTTTATATGTGTATAAATGTTATAAGAATTAGAAATATAATCAATTTTACCGTTTTACCATTTATAAATTTTTTGAACCAATTATAAGAAAAATCTTACGTTTTTATAATCTATAAAGAATTTATGTAAGAAATTCCCGAAAATCCTTACTTGTTGTGGAAACAATCTCTGTACAGTTACTTTCTTATGAAATTTAACATCGCCTCATAAAATTAATGTCACTATCTGTGAAAATACAGTAGAGAATTTTACTGCCCATAACCTCTTAAAATTATATCGGGATGGGACAAGGATTTAATATGGATTAGAATACGATTTATTACTGTATATGTTGAATGGATGTGTTTGATTTTTATGTGTATGTGTTTTTATGTGTAATATGTAGAATATTATCCTTTCAAACATAATAACCTTAAAATAGAAGTTAATGACCTATTTGAATAATTAATTACGAAACTAAAACACGATCCTATTTTTTCTATAGTGAAACTCAAAGTCGCTCAGTAAGGTGTAGAGTAGGCTATAGTTGATACGATTTGATAAATTATAGATAGAGCTACGGATGTAGGTAGTTCAGAATCAAGCCGTTAGAGGAGAAACTATGTGCTTGAAAATGTACTTGTTATCAACATCATCATCGTCGTGATAGCCAGGCCACGCTTTTACATAATAACAGCGTAAAATAGCAGCTTAATGCCGCTGCGGTTCGTATGGCGAGTGTAGAGAACAGGAGACTCTTTTTACTGGAAACGAGGCTTTTCATCTTAGTCCCCAGGGGTAACAACGCATCTGCATTTTGATTCTTAATTCAGGATAAATGTAGATGTTCATGGGCTAAGGCATCCTCTTACTATCTCTACTATCTCTACTATCAGGTGCACTGTGTGCTCGTTCGTCATACTTATTCTATAAAAATCTCGCTTATCCTCCACAACTTTGGCAGGGCCGCAATTGTAATGCAATGAGGGCGGGTACACGTACGTAGAGAAATGTCAGTATTGCGAGGTGCCGCTATAATATGTTCATCTGTATTGAAAATTGTTCAAACCAAATATTGTTATTCATTAATTTTTCCCTACCCAAGCGGCGCTCA